TTCCACATGTGGCTGGCAAGTTTGGTGGAATATCTAAGATTTGGTAGCTTAAAAGATGATATATGGTTATATCACATGTACTTGAAAGGACCTTCAGTACACCCTATATATGTTTTAATTTGACCATTAATATTAGTTACTTCTGCTTTATAAATTATAGATACTGTTTTACAAGCTCCATTTAATGGGCATCTAAATTTATTTCTACAGTTGCATATAGAAATGTAATAGGAAGTCTGAAAACAGCCATGTCTAAAAGGTATAGGCAACAAAAAAGTGATTGATACAAAATTCAATGTCAAATATGTAGAGCTTTAGACATTTAAGAAAAGGCTAAATGCCGACCAACCTTGCAACACAGGTTTCGGGTCTGCTCAGATGGTTGAAACCCAGATTGTGAGGTTGGTTGACATTTTAGCATTTTCTTAAATACATATACATATATATATTATTATTATTATTATTTTTATTATAAGAGATTATATTAAAACATGTTGAAATTGCTGCCCAAAAGCTTTCATGTTTCAATACTTTCATTAATGTTATTAATCTTATATATTTAGCAACTGCAACTGGAAATGTGTAAGTATATATAATGTTCTTAGAAGCTGTTTCATTTTGTTTATAATTTGATGCATGTATGTACCTGTCTGCGTGTGTGTGTGTTTCTCTCTCTCTCTTTCTTTCACTGTGTGTGTGTGTGTGTGTGTGTGTGTGTGTGTGTGTGTGTGTGTGTGTGGTATAAATACAAATTGTTTCAACTAATATTATAAAAGGAAACTTTATTCAGATCTTTTTATTCATTATGCACTAAACTTGCAACTAGACAAATGCTGGCCAACTTAATCAATATGCAATATTGATTGATCAGCCAACTGATCAAACATTCAATAAATCATCTCATCCTGTGATTTCTATAGAAATTCACTTTGACTTTACATCCTTTTGATTTTCCATTGCCAACTCAGAAGATTGATCACACTATACCAGCAAAGATGTTTCTTTTTTTATCCATTTTTATAGATGGTTATTTCTGCAGGTAGGGTTGAGGTGGTTAACTTATATTTTTGGATAAAAGGTCAGTGTGTATCAAATGATGGAATTTCTATGAGAGCAGAATGTTGTCTTTTTTCTGTTCTTGCAAATCAAAAAATGTGAACAAATCATATTAACCCAGAATTGGTGTCATTTTTGGAATCTTTTAATCATCCATAAATTTATTATTAAAATATCCAACAGAAAATTGTTAGTTTTCTTTTAAGATTGATATTTTTTATGATATTTTTTAAGATAATTTTTATGATTTTTTACCAAAAATAACTTGTTTAATGCTGTTTACTTTGCAGCAAAATATTAGTTGTTGATTATCCAGTGAAAATTTATTTACATTCCTTTAATATTTATGCCATTTTTAAATTCTTCCTCCGCAAGCTACATGCCATTTTTAAAGGAAATGTAGAATGCTTTTCAAATGATGATTTTCTCACTTTAGTTGCTTCAGTTGAAGCTGAACTGTAAGTTAGCTGAAGCTCTTAGGATAATAAATTGATAATAAACATTATGAACATCTGCCTAATAAAATGTTGATCATTCATCTGTCTTCAAAAAAGCTGTTACTAAATCAGATAAGGACATTGCAACATTGAATATTCCTTCTAAAACCTGATGACAGGATGTTAACATTAAGACTCTTACCTGCTGCAAGATATATAATGAAGGTTCTATAAAGTAAAAATTAAATAAATGCTCACTGGGACTGAGTTCCGGAGAATATGGTGGCCAGAGCAACACAATGAATTCTTTTCACATTACTGCATAAAATTGTATCTGAAAAAGAGGAGAATAAATTAATTTTAAGGATTAAAAAAAGAATCTGCTAAGTAGTAGGTGGGCCTAGGTGTTGTTGAAGATGTTTCATGTTTCTGAAATATGATATATATATAAGTATCTACTACTCTGGAGTTCAGGAGATTTGGCAACATGCAAAATCCTCATTGGAAAAAAAAAACAAATAAGATATGATATAGGTGTGGACCAAAGGTGGAAATAAACACCAAAACAGCCAATAATCAAATGACAAAAATTGTTTCAGTGTCAGGGATCAGTGTATCCTTCCAGTTAATACTTTCAAAAAAATATTTAACATGCTTAATGCTTTACATTCTTGCCAACAATAAAAAACATGTTTTGTGATACCTTTGAAGAGTATTTAAGTAAAGTCTCTAGATGGAGAAAACCAGTAAGGAGAAGGAACAGCAACATATGGCAGCTTATGATGCACACAGCTTCAATGAGATTCCATTACTCATTCACCCATATTCCTCACCAAGTTACATAACATTTACACTCTCCTTCACCAAGCGACACAAGATTTACACTCTTCCTCACCAAGCTGCATGAGATTTACACTCTTCTTCTCCAAGTCATGTGTCATTTACACACTTCTTCACCAAGCTACATGACATTTACACTCTTCCTCTTCAAGTCACATGACATTTACACTCTTCCACACCAAGCCATGTGTCATTTACACTCTCCTTCACCAAGCTACATGACATTTACACTCTTCTTCTCCAAGCCATGTGTCATTTACACTCTCCTTCACCAAGCTACATGACATTTACACTCTTCCTCTTCAAGTCACATGACATTTACACTCTTCTTCTCCAAGTCACATGACATTTACACTCTTCCTCATCAAACTACATAATATTTACACTCTTCCTCACCAAACCATGTGTCATTTACCCTCTTCCTCACCAAATTACACTACATTTACACTCTTCCTCACTAAGTCACATGACATCTACACACTTCCTCCCCAAGGTACATGACATTTACACTCTTTCCCATCAAGCTACATGATATTTACACTCATTCTCACCAAGCTACATGACATTTACACAATTCCTCATTAAGTTACATGACATTTACACACTTCCTCTCAAAGCTACATGATATTTACACTCATTCTCACCAAGCTACAAGACATTTTACACTCTTCCTCACCAAACCACATGACATTTACACTCTTCTTCATTAAGTCACATGACATTTACACTCTTCTTCACTTAGCCATGTGACACTTAGACTTCCTCCTCATTTTCATCTTGCTTCTCTTTTTCCCACTTACATGTGAAATCACATTCCTTTTCATCTTAATAAACAGCTACAAACAAAAATTTTAACACTCATATACGCTGAGAATAAAATTTAGTTGTAAAAACACAAAGATAAAATATTTTATATTTTTATATTTAAAAACTTTTCTTGCTTTTTCATTGTTGTGGGCTGATTCAAATCCACAGCATAGGACTAGCTGATGATCACATTTGGATGTTAGGTTGCAAGACTCTGTTCATAAAAAGAAGAGTACTAATTTGGTGATCTTAACTGCCTTTTCATTCAACCATGAACAACAAATTATCAATTAATGAGATGGTGAGTGATTACTATCATTTTATTTTATTTTATTTAATTCAATGCAAGGCGATAATGCCACTAAGATGCAATGGTTTACTGGGAGAGAAACATAAGGAAAAAGACTTTAGAAAGAACTGGAAACCCAATCCTCAACAGGAAACAAGGGACAACACCTGCTCAAAAGATCAGGAAGGTGTGTAAACTGGATGATAGGTGAAACTATCTACTCCTATCTAAGGAAATAAATAAATAATTTGTAAATAATATTTCAGAGTTTAGGCAGAAACATTAGCAGTATAGAGTTGAAGAAGATTTTAGAAGGAATCAGAAACCCAATCCTAAACAAGAAACAAGGGATAAACCTCTACACCTGTTCAAAAAACAGGGGAGTAGATGTTAAAAGTATACAGTTGAAGTAGAGTTTAGAAAGAATCAGAAACCCAATCCTAAACAAGAAACAAGAGATAACCCTTTACTCCTGCCCAAAAGACGGGGGAAAATGAATTTCTACCTCTAAAAGCTTTTCTGGGAAATTTTTCACCTTGTAGTGAACATGCAGGCTTGATACTACTAGGAGTTGGAAGTTTGCTCTCTCTATCGATTCTTCTTCCTCTCCTTCACTGACATGTAGTTGGTAAAATTTCCTTGCTAAAGACAATAAAAGCAGTCAATTCAGATCATATGTATTGTGCTCTTTAACACTATGAGAAAATTTTTTCCTAGTGAAAAGACATCTAATTTGATTTTCAGTAAGAGATAACTTTGGATATCGGTCTCAAGAAAGTCATAGCTGAAAAAGTTTCATTTGTTCAGTTGTCAATATTCAGATTAACAGAAGGATTACCTTATTGCAGATACAATTGATTTATTGAGTGTCCAGGTAAAGTAATGGTATGTTTTACATTTAGTAAATATAATGAAACATTTTTTATTGGAATTTTTGAGATGAGGAATTATCATTTTTATATCTGTTTTTATTCTAAACAGTTTGCTTGTCTTGGTTATTATACTCACAGTGTTTCGACTGTAGTACATTCTTCCCTTATTCAGGTGTTTATTTTTGGTAATCTTCTTGGTAACCTTACAAGCACGGAAAGTGAAATGAGAATAATCTATTCCTGTAGATTTAATTTAATAAAGTTGTTAATTTTGTAGTTATTGCCCTTGCATTTTGGTTGTTATTTAGTGCCACCAGGTGGTGGCTTCTATAAAATGCTGGCAGCCATATTGAAAAAGTGACATTTGTTCAGTTGTCAATATTCAGACTAACAGAAGGATTAGCTTATTGCAGATACAATTGATTCATTTAGGATTAATGGATATAATCAGATAGAATTTTCTTCTGTTAAATAAAAGAGTTCAACATATAAGAGAAAAACTTAAATCATTTAGTTTTTTTGAGAAAATGATTTAGTGATATGTCTTACTAATTAAATGATTTAGTGATATGTCTTACTAATTAATACATAATTGGAGGAGAAGGTAAAATTTAAGAGAAAAACGAAATCATTTAAGTTTTTTTCTCATGACTATTCCCAATGATGATATAAATATAAATAAACTGCTGAAAGTCAATATTATACCCAATGATAGATAGATAGATAGATAGATAGATAGATAGATAGATAGATAGATAGATAGATAGATGAAAAGTTCTTAAACTGATTCACTTCTTGAAATCAATAATTTGCTGATGAAACATCTTAATTGGGCAGGGAATAAAAAGGTAAATATATGGAATAACATGTACATTTTATGGCTACATGTTATTCTTCTTGGTTAGTCTGTGGACTTTTCATTACCCCTCATATATATGTATGTGACACCAATAAAGTCCTGAAGGACAAAACATGTCACAAGTAAACTTTTCTACTTTCTCATACAATCTCCTCAATACTGTTCCTGATATATAAAAATATATATTGTTATCTCATATATATATAATGAAGTAAATAATATAGTATAATAAGTAAATCTAATGATATAAAATTGTGAAAACCTTTCGCAAAGAAAAATTTAAAGTTGCATTAGCCTACGAATCACTCTGTTGACTTCAATGTTCACTTTCATATTCACACACGCTCTATCTCTGATACTGAGCACTTTATTCCATAAATATAGCACACCTTAAGAGTATATTTCTTCATATATATATATATATATATATATATATATATATATATATATATAGATGAGATGGATAAATTGTCATCTAAATTATCCAAAAATGAAAGTAATACACCCATCTCATTTTAACATATATATTTACCAAAATTACACAAAAATATCTTGAAATACTAAAGAGTAAATTTATTCAATAAAATTGTCATTGGTTTCAACCACACCCTCCAGACAACTTTGGAATCTCCTGAAACCATTCTGGACAGTTTGCTTGTTTAAGTTGGAGAATGCTGCCATAATCCTTGCCTTTAGTCCATCTTTGGTGTTACCAGGAATTTTATTGGTCTCATGCTCAACTGTGCCTCACACATAATAATCAAGGGAGTTGCAGTCTAGGAACATAGATAGGCAGATGTAAGAGGTGATGCAGTAACAGAAATTGTCTGACAGCCATGACTGGATTCTCCTGCTTGTGTGGCATGGTGCAGAGTCCTGTTGTCAGACATAGGGTTTTCCATTAGCCACTCTCTTAAGCTAGGGCAGTACTACCTCTTCAAGGCACTTGATGTAGCCTTCTGGGTTGAGACTGAGGCCCTCACCAACAAATTTGGGAATTCTTTCCTTATCAGAACAATCAGAGTAACTTTTCCGAGCTACCATACCTTTGTAATCACCATTAGACTCATCCAAGTCTTTCTGAATCCTCTGCACTGCCCTCAGATTGACACCCAAACACTCTGAAATGTTTGTATTGAAGCTTCTGGTGTGAATACATGCTGTTTCCAAATTTCTGGCAGAGTGAATTGCATCATAGAGCTCTTTTGCTCACAGATGGCGCCCAACTGACCCTACTATACTGTGCAATCAACAAAATCAAAAACAAACAACACACATGCATGAAATCAAAAATATACAATGGCTACAATTTACTTATTCCACCCTGTGTGTGTGTGTGTGTGTCTGTGTGTGCATGTGTGTGCGCGCGTGTGTGTGTGTGTGTGTGTGTTAAAAGAGACAAAGAAAGATATTTAAAGATATTATTCAATTTTTAATGCAGAAAATTATCTCACTGTAATTTAGTAAATAAGTTGGTCAAAGTTTTCCTTTCAACTAAGCTTTAATTATGTAAGGAAGGATAATCTGGTATTGTTTAGAGATGCAAAAGGGAGGTAACCATTGCTCTCTTCCTGTAATGGGGTTATTAAAATAATTGCTTGCCAACTTTCTTGGCATTTATTTTACTTCCTTCAATTTGAATCTCTTGGCTCTTGTAATTTATGATTTTCTTACCTTCAAATTGCATGGTGTTTTGAAAACATACACACACAAATAAAGATTACTTTGTTTCAGTCTGACCCAAGGCTCCAATAGTGGGACAATGAATGTAGATTAATGATCTGTAAATCTCACTTGTTAACATTGTTAACTTAGTTGGGATATATTTCTATGAGTCTATCAGTGTCTTTATAAAGCAGTGATGGTTCACATCCTGTCAGCACCCCAACATTTTTTAAAAACAACTGGTACAAAAAGCTTAACCAGTGTTGTTGTAAGACTGATTCAGGATATAAAAAGGCCTCAACGCAAAGCCAATGTAATTATCAGATCAGGATATTTCCCTGCCTGGCTCTGTTTCGTAAACCCCCGGATCAATCAGATTTCCTTCGTGAGTGTCACTGGACCAAGGAACGGTCAACAAGGCCGACCGTTCCTCGGTCCAGTGACCTTTCACGGCCTAGGAAGGTCTTCTATCGTCTTTTAGTGGCGGGGGTCGTGAAGGATTCCCTACATGAGCAGCTTGGCTTGTCAGAGGAGTTTTGCTCTTTCTGGTCTTGGGCGCCAGTGGTGGATTATCTCAGTAACCCTGAGTTTTCGCTTACCTGGCAATTGGTTTGGAATTGGCAGCCTCTCAATGACAAGGTCTTCATATGGGGCTTGGAGGATTTGCCAGACTGTGAACGGTGTGGCCTTGGTCTGGAAGAAATGGCTTTGTACACCTTCTACCATTGTCCCCGGGTCAGCCCCTTATTGAACTATGTCGGTGAGTAGATGGCTCGTCTCGCTCCCGAAAAGCTTGTGCTCATTGATTGCGCATATGTGTGTGACAATGTGTCGCTCCCGTATTCTGAGGTGAAATGGATGGTGTTTCTGACGCTGCTGGCCACGGCCCAAATGGTGATTTGGATGATGCGAATGGAGGAAGTCTTGTGAGGCAATCGTCTTTCTCATCAGGATCCGATTCATTGAGCATCAGCTCAAGATGAAGATTAGAACTAATAGAAAATGCTTGCATTCGACAGTCTTCAGCAAAAGGTGGGTGAAAGAGGCGAGCTTGGTTCGTTTGAACAGGGCTCCCCTTGGTTAGGTTGGACAAGCTTCAGTGTACCTAGTTAATGTAAGTGTTGTTCCTGGCCTGTTCCCGGCCACCTCTTTAGTTATGATTCAAGTCGAGATTCCCGACCTCCCCAGTTTGTTTTGGCCCCCTTTTTATCTCAACTGGGTTAGCTTTATATTTTCCCCATGTCCATCTATATTTTCACCTTCCCACTCCCTTAGCGAGAGAGCCTCTTGATTTTGTCAAATGGGCAGAATACTGCGGCCTCGGCTTTTTGAGGTTTAGACGGGCCCTACTAACATCAGTTATGTTTAGTTTACTTTGTGTTGAGTTTTAGTTTTATTATTGGGTTCATCTCCCTCCCCTCTCATTCTTCATTATTAGAATTTTATATATATATACATTTATTATCATTAAATTGTTAAGGCATGGGCGCACATTTTGTAGGTTTGCCCTTGAGAGGATGTGGTTTTATGGTAGATGGAGGATTGATTGGTGACGGACGAATTCTTATGGTGAATGCAGAAACTGTAATGTGTGAATGGGTTGTGAATCAGATTAGCTAGATATAAGATAGTTAGTGATGACTAGCCTCAACCCCTCCCTATTTTGGCCTTGTGCCACAATTGTATTTTATATACAATAAATATCCTGCCCTAGGGCTCTGTCCCTGAGCTGGTGGTATCATGGCTATGACTAGCTTGGACCAGCTCTGACCAGTTTGGACCAGCTATGACAAGCCAAGACCAGCTTGGACAAGCTATGACTAGCTTAGACCAGCTCTGACCAGCTTGGACAAGCTATGACTAGCTTAGACCATCTCTGACCAGCTTGGACAAGCTATGACCAGTTTAGACCAGCGGCCCGAGTGAAAACACTCGGGTCCCCATGTTAAAAACTGACCTTGTGTCACAACCTGACTCAGTGGGGGGTCAAGTAAATATCCTGTTCCATCAGATCAGGACCAGAGGAGACAAGTTGGTCGGGGTGTATGCACTCGGGTACCCCACATTAAACAACTGACCTTGTGTCACATCCCACCCCAGTGGGGGTGAGGCATTGGGTAAATCTGTTCTGGCAGATTATGACCAGCTAAGACAAACTTTGTGTCTGATCCCACACAAGTGGGGACTGAGTAAAAATTGACCAATGACCCAAGTTTATGTGCTCAGTTTCCCCACATTAAATAACAGATTTTGTCACATGCCGTTCCAGGGCCATGGGTAAATACCTAGGTGTTCTGCAGTGCAGAGGCTATGATCATATTGTAGTATCTGTTCTGCTGCCATGACTAGCTAAGACAAGCTTTATGCCCAATTATGTGCAAGCATGTTTTGGGTAAAAATTGACCAAGATTTTGACTAGTGACTCAAGTGTATATGCTCAGGTACCACATGTTAAAGTGACCTTGTATTGCATCCCATCTCAGTTGGGAGGCATGGATAAATTTCCATTGTTCTGCAGTCAAGGTGACAAGGGCCTTGAATTAGATTAGCTAGGTGATGACCAACCCCACCCTATGCCACAATTGTATTTTTACGCAATAAATAATGAGGATCAAAGTGTAGTCTCTGTTCCAGTAGCAGCCAACAGTTGGCTCCATGGATCCAGCATGTCATCAGCTGTTATCTCCAGTAGGTCTCCAGCTACAGTCATCTTTACCAGCAGCAATAATATGCATTAAACTGTTCTTTTCAAAACAACACTCTTCATCAATTACAAAATTGTCCTTTACAGGACAACAATCTCCAATAACTGCCAAAACTGTTCTTCTCATCCACTACATGAGGTAGAGATATTGTTTGCTTAGTGCACTGTAACATTATTTTTGTTGATGTATTTTCTTTAACAAAAATAAACTTGGCAATATGTTTTTTACTCGAGTCTTCATTTTGTTTATTGTTGTCTTGACATTCAATATTTGTTTGCAGGCCAATATACCACCTGCAACAATGGCATCTACTCTGAATGCATCATAAAAACTCAGGATGTGGATTTAGTAACACTTGAAATGCCTCAGGATCAGTTATAACAAATTAAATATAGGAGATAAGGAAATTCAACACAGAACAATCTGTGATTGGGTAGATCACCTAACACTTGAAATTGCTATAAAACCAAAACATTCAGAATGGACATTCTACAATAATGTCATATAATTTAATCAAATAATAATTATTTACTTAAAAATTATCATGT